ACATGACAGTTCATGCTAGTTTTACCGTTACATGCTAACCGCAGTCACAAAGAGCCATTTACTCATCTGAAATACTAATTTTATGACTGCACCGTTTAAAAACTCCCCAAACACAAGTTAAAAGCGAATGTTTATCTCTGAGCTGTCCATCACTGACCCAAGCAGAGATTTCTCCCTGAAGGGAAGAAAAGGCCCCAGAAGCTCGTTGGTTTTCAGAACAGAGCTAAACACAGTGAAATGACCCATCTTTGCAGTATTTTGACGTGAAACTAGGCATAGCCAAATGATACCGAGGCACCAAAGCTTGTGCCAATCTAATGAACCGCCGTGTGTCGACTCTAAGTGTCGGCGCTTGTATCGAGGGACGACTATCACGTAACCGATGACGTCCGAAGCTTCGGGCTTTATTATTATATTTCAAACCTCAGCATGAGTGTCAATGATGTAGTGATAATGATTCTACAACTGATCTCCCTAACAGTGTCCAGAAGACAAAGGCTGGATGAGGCTTTAGACATTTTTTTCTAAGGCTGGGGGAATAGCCAGTCAGAAAAGGAGCCGTCTGAAGCCCAGCACTGTGGAACAAATCCTGCTTCTTAATAAATATCTGTGGAAATAAATGTTGCACAAGCACTGCTGCTGACACTTCTATCAGATCAAAGATCAAACTTCAATATTATGGACGTAAATGAAAAAAACATTGATACATATACATGAAATAATGAAACAAAGCTTGAAAACTAGAGTTACACAAGAGCTGGTCCTGTAACATCATCCTGGTATCGCTCTGCAGGTTGTACTCCAGTCTTATAGCTTTTCTCTTTCTTTGGGTGAAAGACGGAATCCAGCCGTTACCACATACCTCTACATACCTATACTTTTAATGTAATATTTACTTTTATTGCTAAACAAAAAAATACAAATGCCACATCGCTAATATCTTAAAATCTGTTTATTAACGTGCAACTTGAAATGAGTTTTACTGCACACATTTGGGATTGAAGCCATGATGTTTAGTGCCAGTGCTTCGAGTCCAATTATGAAACAGCTGCTGTAATTCCAGTCTGCCACCAGGTGTCGCTGTTCTCCCCCACAGCGAAGCCCTGAAGCTTTGAATCATTTTCGGCACAAAAAGAAGTAAAGCCTCAACGCTCCACAAGGCTTCGTTCGCCCATCTCTACCAGAAACACTGAGAAGCAAGCTGTGGGACTTTCATTACTGGCTGAGAAACATATATATATATACAGTATATATATATACTGTATATATATATATATATAGTAGAATCACACTGAAGGCATCAACACTATGAATGAATACGTGGAAATATGTACTTAACAAAAAAGTGTCAAACAACTGAAAATGTCTTATATTGTAGGTTCTTCAAAGTAGCCACCTTTTGCTGTGATTACTGCTTTGCACACACTCTGCGTTCTCTTGATGAGCTTCAAGAGGTAGTCAGGATGTCTGTCTCTATATGAGTGGCACAGTGTGGAGCTTCAACGCTGATGTCTCATCCAAACATGTCCCCCTGATTGTGTTCATTTAAGTGATTTTGGTGTCTTTTGTTTTGTATTTTTTGTCACTTTGTGGATGTCTTTGATCTCTTTATGGTCCTGTGGAGTCTGTTTGTGGATGTTTGACGCAGTGTGTGCTGCGTACGTCGTTTCTACAGGACACACACCTCGCCCAATAGTATGTATCTGCAGAGACTGCACGTACAGGGCTGCTCCTACAGGGCTGTACTCTTCTTCTACGGCCGTACCTTTAGAGCATTTTTTATCGACAGCGCCACCTATCTCAATGACGTTGTGTTAAAGGACGATTTCACTCATAAAACACATACAATTAGGTTTTATTTAAGAATAGTTACAATTTAATAGGTTGTATTTAAGAATAGTGTTCCACTGTAATTTTGGCTCAAGGTAGTCCAGCAGTATGTGTCTGTAGAACCGGAGGCGGCACTTTTAGGACACCACCTATAGAACCACAGTTCTAGGACCAGACTCTCCTTCAAGGGTCCAGGGGTCTCATGTACAAAGCGTGCGTACGCACTTATCCACGCTCACGTTCAG